GCAGACGGTAGCGAGAGAGGGTGGTGGGAGACGCGATTGAGGAGCTGATCAGAGGAAACCCGTCGTCATGTCTGGCAAAGGGCCGGCCATCGGCATCGACCTGGGCACCACGTACTCCTGCGTGGGGGTCTTCCAGCATGGCAAAGTGGAGATCATTGCCAATGACCAGGGCAACCGCACCACGCCCAGCTATGTGGCCTTCACCGACACTGAGCGCCTCATCGGGGATGCTGCCAAGAACCAGGTGGCTATGAACCCAACCAACACCATCTTCGATGCCAAGCGTCTCATTGGCCGCAAGTATGATGACCCCACGGTGCAGGCTGACATGAAGCACTGGCCCTTCCGTGTGGTGAATGAGGGGGGTAAGCCCAAGGTGCAAGTGGAGTACAAGGGTGAGGTGAAGACTTTCTTCCCAGAGGAGATCAGCTCTATGGTTCTTACTAAGATGAAGGAGATTGCTGAGGCCTATCTGGGACGCAAAGTGCAGAATGCTGTCATCACTGTGCCTGCCTACTTCAATGACTCCCAGCGCCAGGCCACCAAAGATGCTGGCACCATCACTGGCCTCAATGTGATGCGTATTATCAACGAGCCCACAGCAGCTGCCATAGCCTATGGCTTGGACAAGAAAGGTACGCGGGCTGGGGAGAAAAATGTGCTCATCTTTGACCTGGGAGGGGGCACTTTTGATGTGTCCATCCTTACCATTGAGGATGGCATCTTTGAGGTGAAGTCCACAGCTGGTGACACCCATCTCGGTGGGGAGGACTTTGACAACCGCATGGTGAACCATTTTGTGGAAGAATTCAAGCGCAAGCACAAGCGCGACATTGCTGGCAACAAGCGAGCGGTGAGGCGACTGCGTACGGCTTGTGAGAGGGCGAAGCGTACTCTCAGCTCTTCCACGCAAGCTAGCATTGAGATTGACTCCCTCTACGAGGGCATTGACTTCTACACTTCCATTACTCGTGCCCGCTTTGAGGAGCTCAATGCTGATCTCTTCCGTGGCACCCTGGAGCCAGTGGAGAAGGCCCTGCGTGATGCCAAGCTAGACAAGGGCCAGATCCAAGAGATCGTGCTGGTGGGTGGCTCTACTCGTATCCCCAAGATCCAAAAGCTGTTACAGGACTTCTTCAATGGCAAAGAGCTCAATAAGAGCATCAATCCTGATGAGGCTGTTGCTTACGGTGCTGCTGTGCAAGCAGCTATCCTTATGGGTGACAAGTCTGAGAATGTGCAGGATCTGCTGCTGTTGGATGTCACCCCTCTGTCCCTGGGGATCGAGACAGCTGGTGGAGTGATGACCGCTCTCATCAAGCGCAACACCACCATTCCTACCAAACAAACTCAGACCTTCACCACCTACTCGGACAACCAGAGCAGCGTCCTGGTCCAGGTGTACGAGGGTGAGAGGGCTATGACGAAGGACAACAACTTGCTGGGCAAGTTTGACCTAACGGGCATCCCCCCGGCACCTCGTGGAGTCCCCCAGATCGAGGTCACTTTTGACATCGATGCCAATGGTATCCTGAACGTCAGTGCTGTCGACAAGAGCACGGGTAAGGAGAACAAGATCACCATCACCAACGACAAGGGTCGCCTTAGCAAGGATGACATCGACCGCATGGTGCAAGAAGCAGAGAAATACAAAGCGGAGGATGAAGCTAATCGAGATCGGGTGTCAGCCAAGAACTCCCTCGAGTCCTACACTTACAACATGAAGCAGACAGTGGAGGATGAAAAACTGAAGGGAAAGATCAGTGACCAGGACAAGCAGAGAGTGCTCGACAAGTGTCAGGAGGTGGTCTCTTGGCTCGATCGCAACCAGATGGCTGAGAAGGAAGAGTACGAGCACAAGCAGAAAGAGCTGGAGAAACTCTGCAACCCGATAGTCACAAAATTGTACCAGGGAGCTGGAGGGGCTGGGGCAGGTGGCTCTGGTGGCCCGACCATCGAAGAAGTAGATTAAAGAGGACTGAAGTATAGACTGGTTTATGGACAGTCACTCCATTCTTTGCTTTCTATTTTTTTTTTCTAACGTTTAAGGAAAACGTCCTTGCCGATAACAGAGTTTATTCTGTTGGGTGTGTATAAAGGCAGATCTGTCAGCTTGGTTTTGATAAAAGGGAAGGCACGTCCTGCTTTATAAGGTTAGTAATAGACAAGTTTTGTTAATTCAGACACAGCTGTTTGTACTCTGGATGTTTGTTCAAGTGTCTCTTCTAAAGTAACCACTTGACTGCTGCAGTTGACAAGTTTCAAGTTATGCATGAAAATCTTTATGGAAGATTAAAAAAAAAATGCCAAATTTGGCTTCTGGAAATTTTGGTAATAAATAAAACTTTAAAGCAAAACCTATCTTCCTCCTCTCTTGCTAAGGGGCAGTAGTGGGGTGGGTGGGGGGTGGGAAGGACCTTGGCAGTGTCTGTGCCATCCCTGCCGGGGCACCCTGTCCTGTCATGGGTGGGTGCTGGCAGCCTGGTGGGCCCCCGAGAAGGCGCTTTGAACAGGATCGGGTCTGATACCGTTTCGGGGCGGTGGCTTGCCCAAATGCAACCCAGCCTAGGGAGCCAGCTGGCGGCGGGGGGGTGCGCTGGTGTCGCAGACTCCGAACACCAGCGCCGGTGTGAGTGTGACCCCCAGCACCACCACGGCAGGGGAGACTTCCCTGAATTAGGGGTGTTGGTTTTGGGCAGGACTTGCACTTCATCTAGCTATGGGAATGTGGAGCAGCTTGTGTTCACGTTGCTGGAATAAAACAGCGGGGAAATAAGCGCAACAAAAATAGTCCTGCTTGGCAGACGGCTGGGCTTGATAACACAAGAGACCAGCTTGTGGCCAGCTGCGTGAATTGCGGAGTTGTTCTTGGGCTGCTAGCGCGCAAGTTGAGCTTTCAGTATTTTACTGAATATGGGGTTTTTTCTGCTTCTAAGACCATCAAAAGTACAGCTTCCCAGGACACCCTGAGAGCCAGGATACTGAACTTGATAGAACAGGCAAAATCTGTAGCAGTTAAACTTGTCTGGCTTTACTACAGACCGTCTCCAGGGCTCTTCATTTGTTTCAGAAAGCAAAAAACCCTGCATGTTTAGAGTCCGAGGAGCTGTGAATTAATTACCTCTGCCTGACGACATGCACATTTTGGACTGGCTTGTCCTTTAAGGGAAAAAACTGCGGAGCAGTGGGCAGCTGAAGGGAATAATCTGAAGTGTTTTTGTTTGGTGGCTCGTTAGTAAGAGGGAGCGTGGGTGTGCTGGGAAATGAGGCAGGCGCTGCCCTGCTGGCTTCTTAAGCTGCAAAGAACTCTTAGGACCCCGATTCCCTAAGCTTGTAGGTGATGTACGTAAAAGAAACGTGAAAAAGTATTTTGTAGACAAAAATAAACGTGTTTAGTATTTAATAATCAGCACAAGCATGAAACTCTGGTTTACTGCATTACTTCTGGTTTGCTGGAGCACTGACTGTGGGTTTCTCTTTGCTAGCTACAGAAAGGGGTGATGTATACAGGACCCCTGGGAATAAGCAGATACCATGACTTTTAATTTATTTTTTTTCCTCAGAACTAATGGGTAAATGCGTTTATGAAGAGCAGTAGGTAATCTGTAAGGGAAAACTTGTTGCTGCAAACTGTAATACTTTGTCAGATGCTTTCTTCCTAACCAAAATCCCACTACTATGGGATGACAATAAGAGCTAAGTAGCACCCATGTTCGTTGTAAATGCAGGTTAACTAATTTTTCTATTAACTTGACTTCACCACATACATAGTTTCCTTTACTTTTCAGAGCTCAGTGTGCATTCCTCAGCGTCGCTTCTCAGTTATTAAACAATCTTTTGATGCTTTCCTCAAATGTCTTTCAGTGTATTGCAGAGCCAAGACAGCACAGTAGGTAGTTTGTTACACGCCTATGCTGTCATCTGTCCTCTCCCTCAGCCTGGCCTCTGCTGCTTTGTGCCTGTTTCAGCAGCGGGGCAGGCATGGAGTAACAGAGACCACGGAGGTGAAGTACCCATCTGGATGGTTAAAACACCCCAGGGGCTGAGGACATGGAACAGGTTAACACTGGAGTAATTGTATTTTGGTTTTTTTTTTCCTAGGAAAGGGACATATTTTAGTATGGACACACCTAGACTATGTGGTGGATATATAAAGGATGAGAAACTTCTGCTGACTTACATGATTGGAAAAAGTTTTGAAGTCTCAAGGAACAAAGTAGCCTTTCAAGTATGTGAGCGAGCCCCAGAATGCAAGAGGCAGAGAACTTGAGGGGCTCCGAGCTAGATTCCTTGCACTCGTTCACTCAGTTTATAAAACAAAGAATAACTCCGAGTTGATTTTCAGTATCTTGTGCTTACTGTAGAGTGAACTCTGATCCTGTTAGTGGAAACTTCCCACCGACTCCAGTGGATCTACATATTTTCCCTCAGTTTGTTAAAGAAATGAAGTAGATGACAGAGGGGAAAATGCTGCTCCTCATTTGCAAATAGGTGTATTTGGTGTGTGCATGTGGTTCTGGAGAGTAGTTGCACTTTTCAAACGAACTTGGCAAAGCTAGGGAAATAATCTTGTCTAAAATCTGCAGTTTCATGGCTTACATACTCAGCGTCTCTCCTTTGACTCACAGGGAAAGCCAGCTCCTTCTGTCAAAATCACGGGCCTGGGTTTCTGAACTTTGCTTATTCTTAAACAGGGCTCTGCAAAAGACCAAGCCCATAGGAAGGATATAAAGTGGTTATAACTTCATAGCACTTGTGTAACTGCAGTCTTAACTTTCGATGGCTTCTTTTATTTGCTGATCGAGTTTATATGGATAGTATTATTTTATATGGAGGAACACCCATAGCATTAATACTGGAGAATTTAATCACCCCAATTAAAACCTTTAAGTGCCTTAGCACCACACTCGTGGTGCAGCCAGGGGTGTAGCAATGCAAAGCAATCACTCCCGTGTGCAATGCAGGACGCCCAGCAACTTCACTGTTGCTTTGCAGGGGAGAGGGAAGAGCCTGAAAATGACAAAGCCAAAATCATTACTAAAATAACGTGCCATGTGAGAACCCTCAGAGGGAGTTGAGGACAAGAGAGCTGTCTGAGGGCACCCCACTCCGGAGCTGGAAAGCTGAGACGTGCTTGGACCAGCTGTGTCCGCTCGGCTGGCCGGGTGAGTCAGCCCCGTGCCCTGCCGAATCCAGAGCATCTGTTTGAAGTTCTGCACGGAGGGCTTGGGCTGCAGCCCTTCTGATACCATCATAGAGACAGGAATGAATAGATCCTGGCAGCCTTCCTTTTATCTCTCAAGAGACACTGCGTAGAGCCCTGCAGGCTGAGCAGCCTTTCTCTTGGAAGCTGCTGTCATTTATTTGAGAAGCTCTCCTTGGAGGTCTGGGGAACTGTGGGGCACAGCCAAGAGGAGACAGCTCGGAAGGAGATGTGGCATCTCAGGACTGCACCATGAATTTTGTCTTCCCCATTGCAAGCCACTCCCATGGATACATATGAGGAACAGGAAAAAAAAGGAAAAATGTTCAGAGAATTCACATTTCCAGTTGTGGCACTTACGCTAAATACAAAGGATCAGGTTAAAAAGCATGCAGTTACACCCAGCATGCATACTTAATTTTAAAGCTCTTTTTTTCAGTCTTGTCAGTGCGTTGCAATGTAATAGCATTTCAAGCTCTGCTTATTTAAAAGATATTTCACGTTTCTCCTCCTTTGCCCTGTGCCTGGCATGAGTTTCCCTTACCGTGCCCCTTTGGAAAGTGCACGGAGGTCTGATCACTGCCTACGTCAGGGACACTGTACATTGGCACATGGGAATCCTGTGATATTAAACCAGCAAAGCTTGTGGATGCCCTTACAGCAGCAAAATTATGTCTCTAGTTGTTCATCACAGGAAAGTTATCACCCCTCCCTACCCGCCAGCGAAACAAGTTACGCTGGTAAAGCTGCTTTAGCTCCCCTATGTGGGTCAGGTATCACATCTCTCTGCCGCTTCCTCCTCATATTTATGCAGGCAGAAGCCCATAGAGTAGACCTGCCTTTAGAGTAGATTTTGCTTGCAGCAGCGTGGTGATTATATAGTTGGTCAGGCCAGCATTTCCAGATGCAACCACATATTTCACTTCCACATATGAAACAGCAGTATTAAAAACCCCTGATCCACCCTTGCATGACCCATTTGCCTTTACTCTCTCCTGCATGAGTGGGGTGGAGACATAGACAAGCTGGTTCCTCTTGTCATCCCAATAACAGCACCAGCCAGGAATTTGAGAGAGAAGATGAATTTCCCTCTCAGAGCCAACACGTTTTTGGTAGTCTTTCTTTTAAGGAAAATCAAGAGCAATATGGGAAAATTCTGTTCCTTTTCCACTGCTGAAGATACTCTCTGCCACCATTCAGGAGCTGGTTCTGTGTGCTGGCCTGTACAGTTGACAGGTTGCTGCTGCATCCTGGACCAAGAAGCGTGAAGTCTTTCTTGCTCGTGCTGAGGCAGTAGTTAGCAGGACCTGTACCCAATCTGTTGGGGCAGTTCAGAGCGTCACTGCTGCAAATGGCTGCAGTTAAAAAACTATTTTGAACAGAATTAAGGAGAAAAAACACTTCCAGAAAGTGCTAAAGCTATGCATTTCAGCAAGACTCTGTAGAGAATCCCACGGGTTTAGGGGTCTTGGTTGCCTTGCTATTCACTGACAAGCATAAAGAGAGATTTTCTAACTATCAGGCCCTCTGAGAGCTGTTGCATGGTTGAACTGACAGTTTGGCAATCACGTCATAGCTGAAAGCTGCATTTCTTTTCGCCAGGCTGTGTCTAAGATGTAAACATTTATTTCCCATTTGGCAGACTCCTTATTTTCCTGCTGCAGACCTCATTCACAATGTGTGTGCAAACGTACTAATGCAGTCTGGTTAAAGACAACTGATGCTCACAAGTCCTTAGTCCTATCCCTGGCACCACAGGTGGAAGATAACCAAACTAGAAAAAAATCTAAGCTAAAAAGTCTCTGTAATAAACTGAAACCTAAAAATAAAGTTCTCTGCAATAATTACCGTCAGAGCTCAGAGAACTGAACAGAGAAGATATTTTCTATAGTACATCTATATTAAATTTTCACTTCTCCCCCCCCAATTCTATAGCAGGGAGCTGGTTATTACATCCTACAGAGAACTAGAAACTAGGCTGTGGCATTTTTGTTAAGCTCCATAGATTTCTGAGCATCTCAGAGTTGAAATCATACTTTTGAAAATACCTATTGAGTATGAGGTACATGTAAACACTTCTTCCTTTCTGTTAGAGGCATGTTAATAACAAAAGGTTGATTGTTAGGAGCACAAGGCAAATGCCTAGCTGCATGA